CACGTTTTCATGTGCTTATTGGTCATTTGTATATCATCTTTAGAGAAATGTTTATTCAAGTCTCTCACCCATTTTTTGAAGCAGATTTTTTGTTGTTGTTAAGTTGTAGTAGTTCTATATGTATTCTGGATATTAAACCTTTATCAAACATATGACTTGCAAATATTTCTCCTATTCTTAAGTTGCCTTTTCACCCTGACAATATGTTAAATTTCATGTTATGTATATTTTACAATAATAATAAAAACAACAACAATAAATAAAACTACCCACAAGAAAAACTGAAGTCCAGACAAGCTTTACTGCTGAATTCTGGCAAATATTTAATTCTTCCTGAATTCTTCCAAAAAAAGAGAAGGACTATTTCACAGCTCATTAAATGAGGCCAGTATTAGCCTCATATCAAAACAGCACAAAGATTTTATAAGAAAATAAAACTGAAAATTAATCTCTTATGAAAAAGGATGCACAAATACTCAGTAAAATACTAGCAAATGAAATCCAGCAACATACAAAGAGTATTAAACACCATGACCAAGTGAGATTATACTAGATATGCAAGGTTTGCTTAACATCTGATGATCTGATGATATGGTGCAAAGTAATGCACTGTATCAATAGAAATTTTAAAAACCCAGAGGAAAGGTATGAAGTTGGCAGAGTAAGAGGACACAGAGCTCACCATCTCCCATGAAAACATCAAAAATACATCTACATGTGAAACAATTCTCATTAAAAACTAACTGGAAACTAGCAGAAGGACTCCTGTACAACCAAGGCTGTAAGAAAGACACACAGGGAATAGGGTAGGAAGGGAAGAAAATCAATCAGGTCAGACCTGTGTCCCTGGGAGGGGACTCAGCGGATAAGGGAGATTACATAGTCACAGACTGGACACCCCAGTTCTAGGGTCCTACGAGGGGAAGACAACTCCCTTGGCTTACTGGAGGACTGTTAGGACTAAACGAAGGTGGTAGGAAGACTGAACTCCACTCAAGAGGAGTACACATGCTGGCTTGCCCCTGAGGCAGAGTAGAGAGATGGGTGCTCTGGCCAATGCTGGATCTCTCACAATCACCTGGGTGTGTGCCCCAGCCCAAGCAAAGTGAACACTGTGGCATCATACTCACTCCATATCACAGTGCAGAACTGGACCTGCAGCAGCCACAACCAGAGAGAAGACTTGACCATGGGACACAGAGGCAGCCCAGTCCAAGGGTAGAGCCTGGGTGGGGCAGCAGCAGCCATTGTTGGCGCTTACTTAAGTGGCATATCAGAAGTAGCCCAGATCTCTGATGGCTGCTGTTCCACCACAGCTCACCTGTCAATACATGCTGAGAATCACAGGCCCTGCCAGCTCTGCAGTGTGGCTCCACAACAGGGCAGGGGTGCTGGAGGCTGGGGGCAGTGATCAGCTATGAGGGACAAAGGGGACTCACATCTGAGGCTGCATCTTAGGGGAGCAAGGGAAACAAATACCAGTGCCTGCACAAGCAGCACATCAGAGACAGCATGGACCTCTGTCTGTGACCGAAATAACTCATGGGCCCTACTTGCTTCAGCACTCCCCTCCTCTGGGGAAAGGCTCCGGTGAGGGGAGAGGGGAAAACATACTTAAAGGAAACAGAGTCACCTTGGGACTGACCCTCAGGACTTCTACTCCAGCAATTTGGAGTCAGACCCCATCCCAATAGGGCAGTGACAACCAGAGGGGAAGTCTACCTCACATCCAGCTCCAGCTCCAGCCCATCTCTAGTCCCACCCACTCCCAAGCTGACAGCACACCCTGAGAAAAGACTTATGTCCATGTCAAATCCAGCAATCCCACCAAAAAAACTAATAAATGAATCCAGCAAAGCTGCAGGATACAAGATTAATATATAGAAATCTGTTGTGTTTCTATACACTAATAATGAACTATCAGAAAGTTTAAAAAAATCCCACTTAAAATTGCATCAGAAAGAATAAAAAACACCATGGAGGTGAAAAACCTATACTCTGAAAACTATAAAACGCTGATGAAAGAAATTTAAGATGATACAAAGAATGGGAAAGATATCCCGTGCTCTTGGATTGAAGGAATTAATATTGTTAAAAGTCATACTACCCAAAGCAATCTACAGATATAATGTGATCCCTATCAAAATACTCATGACAGACAGTTTTTTCATAGAACTAGAACCAATAATCCTATAATTCATATGAAACCACAAAAGACCCAAATTGCCAAAGCAATCCTGAGGAAAAAGAACAAAGCTGTAGGTATCACCCTCTCAGACTTCAGACTATGGTGTACATCTGAAACCAATATAATGTTGTAAATTAACTATACCTCAATTTAAAAAAAATAAATACATATATTCCTGTGAGGAGTAAAACTAAAACAAACAAACAAACAAAAAAAGGGAAGGCCATTTCCTGTATATCTCATTAAGTCAAATTTAGTTTATGGCTTAAGGGCTGTAATATCCTACAAGATTCAAATATTAAGGATTTCTGGAATAAATGATCTAGTTTTATTAATGATATCCCTGCAAATAGGATGTGTTTCAATTGTTTTCTTTTAAAGTAATGTTAAAGGTTTAAAAATCTTAGGATACAACTTAAGATATAGAATGAATTATTCATGAAGAAAAAGTTTTAACAAAAATTAAAAATCAATAAAAATAAAAACCCCACATGGTCATCTGAACAGACACAATGAAATCAGTTGACAACATCTGAGACACATTCATGATAAGGGAAAAACACTCACAAAACTGGAAACAGAAGGGAACGTCCTCAACATGATAAACAGTATTTATGAAAAAAAATACAACTAATACTATACATAATGGTGAAAGATCAGATGCTTTCCCCCTCAGATTAGGAAAAAGAAAAGGATGTCTGCTCTTCCCACTTTAATCTTGAAGAGAAACAAAGTTGGAGGACTCACTTTCAAAACTTATTTTCAAAGCAATAGTAATCAAGATGGAGTGCTATTGGCATGAGGATTAACATATAGGTAAGTGGAATAGAACTCAGAATCAAGAAATAAATCTGTCTCTTTGGTCAACTAATTTTCAACAAGGATGCCACAAACAGTCAATGGGAAAGAATAGTCTTCTCAAAAAATAGTGCTTGGGTGGGTACAGCTCAGTGGTAGAGCTCATGCTAGGCATCCACGAGGTCTTGGGTTCAATCTCCAGGGCCTCCGTTAAGGGGGGGAAAAAAAAGTAAATAGTGTTTGGACAATTGGATAGCCAGAGAAAAAGACTGAATTTGGACCTTTAACTCACACACTATATAAAAATTAACTCAAAATGCATCAAAGACCCAAACTGTAAGAGCTAAAACTATATAATTCTTTAAAGGAAACATGGGATAAATATTCATAGACTCAGATTTGGCAATGGTTTCTTAGATAGGACATTAAAAGCATTAGTAACAAAGGAAAAAAGAGGTAAGTTGGACTTTATCAAAATGAAAATCTTTTGTGCATTGAAGAATATAAAAAGACAACCTTTTGTGCATCAAATCAAGTTAAAAAAAAACCCCAAGAATGAAAGAAAATATTTGCAAAGCATGTATCTAATAAGGGCCTGGTATGCAGAAAATTTTCAAAAATTAAAAAATAAAAAAGCAAAAACCAATTCCAACTCAGTAACAAAAAGACAAATAACCCAATTCAAAAATGGGCAAAGGACCTGAATAAACATTTTTCCAAAGAGGATATACAAATGGCCAATAAGCACATGAAAAGATGTTCAACATTATTAGTCATTAGAGAAATATAAATCAAAATCACAATGAGATACCATTTCACAGCCACTAGGATGGCTATAATTAAAACAGAAAAAACAACAACAGAAAACAAGTGTTGGTAAAGAAGTGGAGAAATCAGAACCCTTGTACACTGCTTCTTGGGAATGTAAAACAGTACAGCCAGTGTAGAAAACAGTTTGGTGGATTCTCTATATGTCAAACACAGAATTAGACCATATAACCATGAGTTCAAATAACTCCATCCCTAGCTAAATATCCAAAAGAACTGAAAGAAATGTTTAAATAAAAATTTGTATACAAATGTTCATAGCAGCTCTATTCACAATAGCCAAAAGGAGAAAACAACTCAAATATCTATGAATCAGTGAATGAATGGATGGATAATCAAAACGTGAGTATTATCCATACAATGGAATATTATTAGGCCATAAAAAGGAATAAAGCACTGACACTTGCTAACACTTGGATAAACCTTGAAAATATGCTATATGAAAGAAGCCAGTCACAAAAGAACACATATTATATAAATCTATTTATATGAAAGGTCCAGAATAGGACAATCTATATAAAATGAAAGTAGATTAGTGATTGCTTAGAGGTGAAAGAGGTAGAAAGGGGGTTAGCATGGTGACAGCTAAAAGGTACAGGGCTTCTTTGGTGATTAATGTTTGAAAATTGACCATGGTGAGAGCTGCACAACTCTGAAAACATACTAAAAAAATTACTGAATTGTACACTTTAAATGGGTGAATTGCATGACATGTGAGTTATATCTCAATAATGCTATTTAAAACCACTAAAACTTTGGAGGGTGGGAAGGGACAGACTGGGATTTCAAAATTGTAGAATAGATAAACAAGATTACACTGTATAGCACAGGGAGATATACACAAAATGTTACGATAACTCACAGAGAAAAAAATGTGACAATGAGTGTGTATATGTCCATGAATGACTGAAAAATTGTGCTGAACACTGGAATTTGACACAACATTGTAAAATGATTATAAATCAATAAAAAATGTTAAAAAAACCACTAAAACTTTAATTTATACTACAACTGCAGCAACAAAGATCACATTTACATGGATAAGGACAAAAAGAAAGTGCAGAAAAAACAGATACATCAGGGTTGTGGGTTTGAGTAGTATTGTTTCTTTTACTGTTAAAATGTTTATTCAATATGTTTAAATGAATGTGTCTAAAATTATGATATACAAATGTTTGTAACTCACCTTTATAAATAAGAGGTTTATCTTTATCTTCTGTCTTCTCCCTACTAGCCAATTCAAGAAAATCTTCAATCAAGTCCAGAGATATGAGAGACTGGCTGAAAACAAGGCTAAAAACACAAATTAGTGTTCATGGATTAGGAGATTGGTATAGTAAAGATACCACTTCTTCCCAAACTGACCTGTAAATTCAACACAATTCTAATCAAAATCCCAGTAGGTTTTTTTCATAGAAATTTATAAGCTGATTCTAAAGTTTATATGGGAATGCCAACCACATAGAGTAGCCAAAACAATTTTAAAAGGAAAAAAGTTGCAGGCCTAACTCTTCATGATTTCAACACAAAGCTAAGGTAATCAAAACAGCGTAGTACTGATGAAGAGACCAACACAAATCAATGGAACAGAATATAGAGTTCAGATATAAAGCCACACTATAGTTAATTGGTTTTTGACAAAAAGGCAAAGGCAATTCAATGGAAAAAAATAGTCTTTTCCACAATGGTCTTGGCAAAATTGGACATTCATATGCAAAAAAATGAACTTTAGCCTAAGTCTTACACTTTACATAAAATTAACTCAAAATGGAGTATAAACCTAAATGTAAACTTTAAAACTACAGAACGCTTAGAGGAACACAAAGAAAATCTTCATAACTTGAGGCTAGATAATTTTTAGACTTGACACCACAAGTATGAACTATGGGGGAAAAAAGCTGATAAGCTGGGACTTCATCAAAACTTAAAAATTTTACTCTGCAAAAGATACTATTTAGAAAATGAGAAAAAAAAAGTCTTCCTATCAAAAGCATTTGAGTAATTTTAACTATACACATTCTAAAACACTTTGTTATTCCAAGCATGTCTGCAAATGCCTCATTTTCTATCCTAGTAGTTTTCTAAATCATTGTCAGCCATGAAAATTATTTGTTCACATAAAGCCTTATGTGGTGTTAAAATAAAATAAGTAAGAAAAACAAGGTGCTTTAGGCATTGGAGGATAAGAAGGAAAAGTGTCACTGGGCCCTCACCCTATGCTCTAGGTCAACATCTTGCAAGGGCTCTGAGAAACTATTTGAAAATCATTGTTCTGATCTAACCCATTGGGGAAAAGCAGACATAATTACACACTGGAAATGAAAAAAATCTAGAAAGAGACTATATGAGGGCTCATTCTCTCCTTTATGTATACAAAGGAGGTCAGAGTACAAGGAACTAGACACCTGTGGCAAGCATACTTTTTGTTTTGTTTTGATTCTGAAAGCTGTATTGTATGATAAAGAGGTACTTAAGACTCTAGAAGATCATTTAACATTCACTGCTAGATGTCTTCAGATTTAGTAAAACTAAGAAGAATAACTCAAGCTATGATATAACCACTGAATTTAATGACATGTACATTGACCACAGTATAGCTTTCTGAACTCTGCAAGGTGGAAGTCTACTGTCTTACAAAATACTGGTAAAGAAATGAATTAATTCCTGGTGCTCAGTGTAAATGACCAAGGGCTATGTCTTGATTCCTCAGTAGATTATCTTTCCTAGAATCAAAAACTTTGTTGAATCAATTCATTCTGAACTATAAATTAAGTTTTTGAGTTTCCTATAACTGGGAAACTTAAATTCTTAGAAACACTAATTATTTAATTGGAATTAATCTGTAATTTGGCTACTATTCTGGAAAAAGGTTGATTTGAGTCAGTAGAGCATTAAGGCTGGTTCTGGGGACCACTGAGCTCAGATAAGCCTCATTATGAAAAAAGGAGTGTTATTAGGACTAAATGGCTATGTACTAATGGTTATTACTTTCTTTTTTTTTTTTTTTGAGGGGGGAGGTAATTAGGTTTGTTTGTTTGTTTATTTATTTTTAGAAGAGGTACTGGGGATTGAACCCATAATCTCGTGCATGCTAAGCATGTGTTTCTAGCGCTTGAGCTATATCCTTCCCACTTACTAATGGTTATTTCTGTTAACCTTTTCTAGTTGCAGATAACACGAAGAATGATTATCCTGATTGGTAATATTTTTCATACTTGTGTAAACTATTTTGGATTTATCTATTTTACCAACAACCCATACTAAAATGTAAAAGCAATACTTACCAGATTCACACATATCAAAAATATGGGAATAAAGATTCAATCAAAATATAATATTTAAATGATAGAACAAGTAAGTCAGAAGGGCTGGGCTAAACTGAGTGGTATACTGGAGTTGGTTGTAACTAGCTTGAAACAAGGCATGGAATGTTAGCATCTCTTCCCACCTCTGACATGTTGTCAGCTTGAAATTAGCCATGGGGGGCATATTTATACCATAGAAACCAGCAAATGTTACAAATCAGGGCTCTTCTTTCCTGCTTCATTGCTTTCTCTATTATTATTATTATTATTATTATTATTATTATTATTATTATTATTACTATTATTACTATCATCATCATCATCATCATTACTAATTGAAGAGTCCACTGTTAAACATTTATTATGACACCGCTGGCTAAAATCACAAAAATTCATTCATCTCTCACCCTGTGAAATATCAAATTTTCATTTGGGTCAAAAGATCAGCTGCACAAATAGGCAATAGAGGAATCTGATCAGACAACAGTTATTCTTTAAAAAAATATGAGTCTTAGTTGACCACAAGCCAATACGAACCAATAGTGCCATTTAGATGTTGGAAAACCTCTCTATCAGATTGCATGAATGGAATTATAGGGTCTAGAATAAACAAGAATCAGCCTCACTATAACTGTGTGTTAATAAGAACTCAGCTGAAGTGTTTTGTTTGCTGTGACCATATTTTGAGATGAGTGCTAAAAGACTGAAGACATAATTCAGAACTGAAATTATGCCATACAAAGAACAGATCAATCAACTGAGAAGAAAAAGCTAAAAATGACAAGAGTTAAACCCACCATTATCTAAAGAGGAGACAACTAAAATAGCAGTAGTGATGTCTGTAACCTACTTTGAAAGGCATCAGAAAATTAAGATGAAGGAGGGATGAATAGATAGATATGCAATAAAGTACAATAAAATATACAATACAGATTATAGGTGTCAGGTATATAGGTATTCACTCTTAAAAATTCTTTCTGCTTTTTGTTATGTTTGAAAATTTCCATACTGAAGTATTTGGCAAATAAAAAATAGTGGTAATCATAATTCCAGAAATACATAATTTTATAGTCTTAACATTGATAACATCTATCAGTTGGGTTAATAACTAAAAGTGATCATTAATCACAGTATAAAAAATGCAATAGATATGTTCTATTTTAGACCAGAGGGGAAGTAGCTATAGGAATAAAGTATAAACTAAAGATAAGGATACATATTGTAACACTTTGAAGTATTCGACTATAGGGAGCTTTCTGAGATGGCAGATATTCTACTCAGGGGAGACTAGGAGAACATCCATGAGATGTAAGTGGTAAAAAAGATTCTTGTACTGGTTGGGAAATTCAAAGACCACTAAAATGTTTTCTACATTCTTAAAATTCTTCTATAGTACCCAATGAAAATTAACTTTAAACTACAGAAGTTAGTAGCCAAAAAAAAAAACCCCAAAAACAAAAAAAACATGATCATGTCTAGAGCATTCATCTCTCCTGACCTTCCAGGAACTCTAAACTCAAATATCCACTTTCTACCTGACATCTCTCATGGATATCTAATAGGCTTCAGAAACTTAAAGCCAGAGCAGGACTCTTTACACTGTCTAATAAACTTAGTTCTCCCCTAATCTCCATTTTAGTAAATTACACAATAATCCACCAGTCATTTAGGGGGAAAGCCTGGGAGTCATCTTTGGCTACTCTCTCCTTCTCACTGACCTGCATTTAATCTATTAAGTGCTGCTGTTTCTATTCCAAAACAAACTCTTTATCTCCACTACCACTCCATTCTAATCCAACATTATCCCTTAACTGAATCACTTGTTTCTATATAAATAAAGTGGCAATATATAACAAAAATAACTTTTAGTGAGGACTTACTAGGTTCCAGGTACAATGGTTAATAAAAAAGAACAAAACAGTCTGTGTCTTCAAACAACTCACTATCCAGTGAAAAGATATATCAAGTACATTAGAATGTGTTAAGAGTAGAGCAGAGGTACATTAAAAGGTGGTATGGATGATTCAGCAATCCCACTCCTGGGCATATATCCAAAGAAAACTATAATTTGAAAAGACACACGTACCTCAGTGTTCATAGCAGCAATATTTATAATAGCCAAGACATAGAAGCAACCTAAATGTCCACTGACAGATGACTGGATAAAGAAGATGTGGTGTATATATACAATGGAATATTATATAAAATATATGAATGAAATAATGCCATTTGGAGCAACATGGATGGACCCAGAGATTACCCACACTAAGTGAAATAAGTCAGACAAAGACAAATATCATATATCACTTATATGTAAAATTTTAAAAAAAAATGACAAATATGAACTTTTTACAAAACAGAAATAGATTCAAATCGGTTACCAAAGGGGAAAGGTGGGGAGGGATAAATTAGGACTTTGGGGTTAGCAGATATAAACTACTATACATAAAATAGATAAACAAGAAGGTCCTACTATACAGCACAGGGAACTATATTCAATAGCTTCTAATAATCTATAATGAAAAAGAATATGAAAAAGAAAAAATACATATATACATATAACTTAATCACTATGCTGTACATCAGACACTAACACAACACTGTAAATCAACTATACTTCAATTAAAAAAAAGTGGTATGGAAATATAACAGAAAATCTGTTTTTTCCCCAGAAAGTTAAAGAAACTAAATTTGAGATTTTTTAAAGACAGATTGTTTTATTTTAGCTTTATGTTAAATTGTTAAAATAACAAAAAATTGTTAAATTAAAAGCATGATATTTTAAAACCATTTTATGACCAGAACTTGAGACCTTATTAACAGCCTAACCAATAATTCTGGTTCAAAACATTAAAAGTATGTTTTCTAAATATAAAAATTAAGGATAAGATTGGGGGTTGGAATGCAGGGAAGAGAATGGGGCACAAATGCTAGAAGTAAAACAAACAGGAACAAAAAATAAAGGAGAAATAATAAAGAGAGTAGTCAAAGAGGTGAAATTAAGTCTGAGAGGTGTCCACTATCTTTGGAAATCAGGTCATTAAGTGACTTTTGGGGGAAAAAATCTCAATAAAGTAACAGGGTAGAAGTCACATGCACAGATTGAAAAATGATTCTGAAAAATGATGAAATATAAGTACCAACTAGAGGCTTGGATCAAGGAAGTTAGTTCAAGATGCAACAGCCAGAAGGGGGAAACAGCACTGAAGAAATTACCAGAATATGCACTCAGAACTAATGACTGAGAAGACAGTTGTCTATCACTACACTAACCAAGAAATTACATCTTTAGAAAGGAAGAAAACAAAACAGATTTCTCCAAATAAATTGTTTAGACAATAAAATGGTTATCAAAAGGTTCATTTATATAATAAAAATAGGAAATAGGAAAGAACTTACACTTTATCCCCAATTTCCTCTGCCATTCGAAGAATTTCAAAGAGAAGTACCATTTTTCCAGAATGTTCTAAAACCTCAGCATCAGCATCTGTAACAAAATCTTTGTACCAGTCTGGAGCTGGGCTGCTTGGATTAGAAGAGGAAGTAGCTTTACCTAAACAAAATAAATGAAACATAAATAAGTAGGCAAATAAGGGAAGAGACTGAAATACCCCAAGACAGGGATTAAGAAAGATCAAGAGAAACAGATATAGACCAAACCGACCCAGGGAGAGAGTGAGAAAGAAAGACACTGGCAGGGATTCGGGAGAGGGGAATGAAACACATACTAACATACACAGGGAGAGACAGAAAAAAGACTACCCCAGGAGAGAGAGAGTTCTATACTGTGAAAGACACAGGGAGGTGGTGGAGGTGAGGTAGAGGGACAAACTCACCCTGGGAGAAGGAGATAAAGATTAGAGAATCTGAGAGACACACAAAGATGTATACAAACATACACAAATGCACGTAGAGGAAATAAAAACATGGGGGTGGGACACCAAGTGATAGAGTAAGTAAGAGACAGATTCTGAGAAAGTGCAAGTATGAGAACAGAAACTAGGGGCTGGGGGCTTAGAAAGATAGAGACTCTAAGAGATGAATCTAAGATAGAGTATAATCCCCAAAGCACACCCCAAGAGACAGGGACCAGGAGAGAAACACCCAGAGACCCAAAGTGGGTAGGGGAGAGGCAAAAAGGAAGGGAAGGGAGACCGACTCACCTAGAGATCAAGAGAGAAAAGATCTTAGGGGCAGGAAACATTTCACTATGCTACTAGAATTCTGGAAAACTCAAACAAGGACTGACCCCAGAATCACTGTATCATGTTAAATCATTTTGCTCTTATTTTCCCTATAAACTTGACAATAAAAGTTATAATGAGAAAGTAACACAAAATAATCTATGAAAGATATAAATAGTTCATTTCAAAATAAGGAATGTATATGTTTCTGTACCTTCTCTCAATTGTCTTTGAATGCAAAGTACTTTAAATTTTTATATATTTTGTTATAAAATATTTTACATATTCAGAAAAGTATATAGAACATAATGAAAAGCAGTGTTCCCACATTTCATCTTCATTAAATTTTAAAACTTGTTATATCTGTTTCTGATACAGTTGAAGACTAATATGTGACCCTACCCAATATTATTCTCTTCTTTCCCATTCTTTCTGAGGCAACTAAAACCCTGAATTCTATATTTACTGCTTATGTATGTTTTTATATTTTCACTACATGTGTGTCACTAAACTGTGCATTGTTTCATGCTTTTAAACTATATGTAGATGGTACCATACTGTTTGTATCAATCTATAACTTTTTTACTCTACAGTTTTTCATTTTCCATGCAAAGTGAGACTTATTCAATAAATCTAACTGCCATGTAGTATCCCAATGCATGAATAATTTATTAGTTCTTCTATTCACATTTAGATTATTTCTCACTTTTTGCTACCATGAAATAACTGCAACAAACACTTAATGTTGTCATATTTTTCTAGAATGTTGTCCACTTCACCTAAGCTTAAAATTTTCTGGTATAAAGTTATGCTTATGATTTTTAAAATATCACTTTAAACATACCTAGTTTATATTTTTATCAAATAGTCCTATTTGAGATTTTTGACAATCTAATCACGTTGTTTTGTGTGTTAACTTTCTCAGGTTGACTAACTTATTTTATTGCTAACTTTTCCTAATGTTAATTGTTTCCTCAGGTATTCAATAATTTTTATTGTCATTTTACATTCAGTATAGCTGTAACATATGTGAGAATCCTCAGTAGCTTGGGTTGACATCATACAACTTCACAGTATTTCTGCATATGCTTATGCAAGGTGCTCCAGGGGATCACCAAACCAGAACTACTCTTGAGGTTAGTATTTCAGCTTGAGGTTTTTAGACTATGTAAATAATGGCTATGTAACTTCAAACCATAAACTATGTGACAGAAAGTCCATGATTGTGAATCTTAGGAAACTACTTTCCAAACCCATAGCCCACGGTGACACAAATGAGCTTCCTTGTTATCTCCCTGGATTGATGAGCAAGTTTTTTTCTTATTTTTCTGTGGAGTAAGTACCCTTTAAACAGATTCAGCTTTAATCTGGGTTCTAAGAACTCTCCACTTTATAGAGAGCTCAAGGCCTTGTATCTTATACCTAGATGGGTGAAAACCAAAGCTGCTACTCTCAAGACTAGCCTATCCCTAGGGCTTCCATGGCATACCTTCTAGAACTTACTGATTAGGATATCAGTTCCCTCTTTCTGTCTGGATCCTGGTGATTTCCATTACTTTTACAAAGCTCATTATGCATTTATATTTAAACCACAATAAACTACCACCTAAATGTGTCACATATTTGCAAGATTCTGTATCTTTCCTTGAATATCTTATATTACATTCTCTCCCTCTTTTCTTGGCAAACTTCTGTTCATACTTTACTATCCTTCAAAACTCAACTAAAATTGCATCTTAGAAAAGCCTCCTTGAGAGGGTTGCCCTTGACTGCTGTCTGGGAACTTGAATGGTAAAAGTTCCCCATACTGATATAAAACTTTTCCTGAGAAGAGGGGCTCAATGTGCCAAGATTGTGTGAATACCTGTTTTCTTTCTGGGAGCCTGGAATTTAGTAAGAGCCAGGCAGAAAGTGCCTATGTCACCAGTCCTCAATAAAAACCTTAGGTACTTAGTCTCTAGTGAGCTATGAGCTCCTCTGGTAGACAACACTTCACATATACTGCCCTAACTTGTTGCTGCAAAAATCAGTACATCCTGTGTAAGTCCACTGGGAAAGGACACTTGGAAGCATATGTCTAATTTCCTCTGGACTTTGACACATATGTGCCTTGTCCCCTTTGCTTGTTTTGCTTTGTACCCTTTCATTGTAATAAACCATAGTCCTGAATATGACTATATGCTGACTCCTATGGATCACCAAACCTGGGCGTGGCTTTGGGGACTCCAGACACATGCTTATCAAACATATGTTGACTAAAATTCCTTTCTACAATTAGTCAACTGGCAAATAATCAGTGCCTTTGGGAATTCTGCAGTTCCACAGATTGCACAAAACTTTTAACAATGGTTACTCATATTTAATAAAGGTAATTTATCTAAGGTGAAAATGTCACCAATCACAAAAAAAGAGCAGAAAGTTAGTACAAATGTAGCATCTAGACAAGTCTCAAAGCTTAACATAGGTGACAATTTTGGTGCAAATACAAGATTTTCCATTCTAATTTTAATCCCATTGGATATAATCACAATATTTATAGTAATCTCTAAAAAAAATAGCAACCCATAAAAATATAGGCTACTCCAGTGAATAAACATCCTGAATATATCATTAAACCTAAAAAATACAAATTTCATGCTGAATATTCTTATTTTATCATCAATATAATATAGATTAATCATAACTTCTGTTATAACTCTGTACTGTGTATGCATACATGACAAATGGCAGTGAATTAATATATCAAAACCACTCCTAAATATCTACTCTGGATATCACAAAATGCTTACAAGATAAGGCACAAAGGAAATACAAACAAATAGAAAGCAACCCCATTACCCCTAATTTCTTGAAGCAATCTAAATATATATTTAACTACCACATTTGCAACGATACACTGTAGTTTTTTTTAAAAAGGTACCATATGATTAAAATATTCTGTGTGTATATAGTAGTAGAATGATAAACTCCATTAAGTGCATTTTCTGATATAACCCAAGCAGGGACAAGCACATAGTAAGCACACAATAGGTCTCTGTTCAAAGAATAAATGTGGTATATTAGTGCTAATATTATGGCCCTAAGACATATAGAAGGATTCTATCACAAAAGTTATCTATACAGTAATATACACATTTTATTTTATTACTGAGTTATACATACAATATTTGTATGGCATACAACATAGTGATTTGATATTTTTATACACTATGAAATGATAACCACAGTAAGATCAGTTAATATCCATCATCATATAATGTTGTTACAAAATTGCTGACTATATTTCTTATGTGTACATTAAGTCCCTGTGATTTATTTACTTATTGCTGGAAGTCTGTACCACTTAATCCCCTTCACCTGTTTCATCTATCCCAAGATGCACACTCCTCTGGCAACCATCAGTTTGCTCTAGGTATCTATGAGTCTGTATCTACTAGTTTTGTTTGTTTGTTCATTTGTTTTGTTTTTTAGATTCCACATATAAGATTCCACTGAAATCACAGTATTTGTTTTTCACTGTCTGACTTATTTCACTTAGCATAATACCTCAAAAGTCCATCAATGTCACCATAAAAGGCAAGATTTCATTCTTTTTTATGGCTTAGTAGTATCCCATTGTGTGTGTGTGTGTGTGTGTGTGTGTGTGTGTGTACACATCACAACTTCCTT